GATCATAAGAATAATTTACTTATTCATCATCTCTTGCTGAAGTGAATGAGAAACTACTCATTCTTCATGACTTTGAGGAAGTTAGAAAAGTGAGTGAATCTCACCCCTCTAAGTAGAGGAACTTAGAATTACGAGAAGCAAAATACTTTTCTTCAACAAAGAATGAGTGAAACACTACCCACCCTTCAAAGTCATAGGAGAGCTAGAAAGGTGAGAGAGGTTCACTCCTCTAAGTGAAGGAAAGGGTAGTATTTATAGGCCAAGGGGAAAGGACAATGATTAGCCTTGAGTGTTGAAAGTCCAAGCATGGAGCTCAACAGTCTAGCTGAAAGTATAGGCATGGAGACTTTTTGATTTGTGTTTGCATTTGAATGTGAACCTGGCTTTCAAACGTGGAAATAATTGTAGCCTTGATACTCCTATGTTCCAACATTTATGCTCCTACAGCTTAGCAGCCATTTTTGGGGATTTTGTCTGATTTTGTAGTTGTGTTTAAATGTGAATTGGTGTTCAAACATGGACCCAAAGTCCACTCTTTCCTCTATCAATGCTTGGTCCCACTGTCTCTAAGTCTTCGTTTTAATTCCTGGATACATGACATCATGCTTGTATAACCCCTACACATTATTTACCATTAGATTATGCTATTTAAACACAATTATGGTGTAATTATCCCCACAAATGCATGATGAAAGGTACTTTTTTAATAGGGAATCACTTAGGTCCACACTAAGCTTGCAGATGATCACCTTGAGGTCGATCCCTTGCACACATGGTTTAAGGTNAAGAGAGCTAGAAAGGTGAGAGAGGTTCACTCCTCTAAGTGAAGGAGAGGGTAGTATTTATAGGCCAAGGGGAAAGGACAATGATTAGCCTTGAAAGTCCAAGCATGGAGCTCAACAGTCTAGCTGAAAGTATAGGCATGGAGACNGGAAAGGGTAGTATTTATAGGCCAAGGGGAAAGGACAATGATTAGCCTTGAGTGTTGAAAGTCCAAGCATGGAGCTCAACAGTCTAGCTGAAAGTATAGGCATGGAGACTTTTTGATTTGTGTTTGCATTTGAATGTGAACCTGGCTTTCAAACGTGGAAATAATTGTAGCCTTGATACTCCTATGTTCCAACATTTATGCTCCTACAGCTTAGCAGCCATTTTTGGGGATTTTGTCTGATTTTGTAGTTGTGTTTAAATGTGAATTGGTGTTCAAACATGGACCCAAAGTCCACTCTTTCCTCTATCAATGCTTGGTCCCACTGTCTCTAAGTCTTCGTTTTAATTCCTGGATACATGACATCATGCTTGTATAACCCCTACACATTATTTACCATTAGATTATGCTATTTAAACACAATTATGGTGTAATTATCCCCACAAATGCATGATGAAAGGTACTTTTTTAATAGGGAATCACTTAGGTCCACACTAAGCTTGCAGATGATCACCTTGAGGTCGATCCCTTGCACACATGGTTTAAGGTTGCGGTATCAGCCATCAGCTCTGAGACACATCGATCGCGGCGTGGAATCGGACAATACAACCTAAAATAAAATGTTGATAATGACAAGAAATTTAGGTCATATAGCGACATCGTGGAACTGTATTTCTCAATTCAATAACGTTATTTCGGCGAATCGGGATTCACTCAGATACGACTCTAACGACTCGGCTTCTTAAAAATGCTATGAGCTTTTGTTTGACTTCATCCAATAGTTTGGATCCCACAAAGATTAGGTTTTATGTGTCCTCGTGCACTTGTATGGGTTCTAGTGCTTCTGAGGGAGTTGGTATTGTATCCATCTTGTCTTTTTTTGTCCAGATCGTCTACATGTATAAATTCAATCTCCTTCTACTTTATAGATGACATGTAGCACTCCATAGCCATCCACTGATCCCCTCTTACAACTTCTATCTCATTTTTAGTTGGAAACTTCATCACAAGATGGTAGGTGGAGGGAATGGCCTTTATTGAGATTAGGGATGGTCTCCCTAGGATAACGTTGTAGGTAGAAGGTGCATCCATGATGAGGAATTTCACGATTGCAGTGGTTTGACATGGAGGGTTCCCCCATAGTGAGTACAAGTTGAATTGAGCCCAAGGGAAAGACCTTTTCGTTGAAAAACTTGAGCAGGTATGTTTTTATTGGCTCAAGCTTCTCCTTGACAATACCTAACTTCTCAAAGGCCTCCACTACAACAAAAATCATTTTTTGGGACNGGGTGTTGATAGTGAGAAAGTTCAAAATTTTGAAAAATTACTGAAGGATGCTTAACGTGTTTTGTATCCTCACTACAACAAAAATTGTTTTCAATATCCTCGTCGCAGAAAGTATTTTATTACAAAAATTTTTTTTCGTCGCAAAAAAAAATTATTCGTGACCAAAAAAAACGTCGCGAAAAGTAAAAAAAACGTAGTTAAAATCCATTCCCAGAGCACAAGAAAGTAAAAAATAATAATTTAATTAGCGTTTTGCGACGTAAAAAAATTGTTGCAAATAATTTTTTACATAAATAAAAAATGTAAAAAATAATAATTTAATTAACTTTTCACGACGTAAACAATACCGTCGTGAATAATTTTTTACATAAATAAAAAATGTTAACAATAATAATTTAATTCATTTTTTGCGACGTAAACAAATCATCGCGAATAATTTTTTTCATAAATCAAAAAAATAATAATTTAATTAACTTTTAGCGACGTAAAAAAATTGTCGTGAATAATTTTTTCATAAATAAAAAATGTTAAAAATAATAATTTAATTAGCTTTTCGCGACGTAAAATTATCTTCGCAAAAAAGCTTGTTCTTGCAATTTTTTGTGACAATTTTTATTTCGTCAAAAAAAAATTCATTTTTTTTTATTTTACATCAAAAATGATATTCCAATAAAAATTTTCACCTGTACACCAATAATACCTGTGTTCAATTAAAAATCAACACAATTAATACATTGCACATCTTTTTTTTAAAAAAACAAAATTTTATTTCAAAAATGAATGAATTACAATAATCAAATTACAAGAAATTCTAAAAATAGAAAAAATGGTTTTTGTCTACAACACAGCTCATCTATAGAAACAAGTAACAAACACAATTTGCAGCTTAATTCTGCACAATCTAACCCCTACCATTAGCTCAGCAACTCTGATCACTGCATCATCAGACAGCCTGTAAAGGACCTAAAGCAGGAGGAACAGATCCACTTGTAGCATAGCTCCTATTATGGCTGTCCATTGCAGCTCTCAACTCAACAGCTCAGCAACACAGCAAAAACCAGCTGTTCAACAACCAAAACAACCCCTAACCTGGAATCCAGGAATTGCAACAGCACAGCTCAGCTCACAAATTATCTCAGCAAATCTGATCCTACATCCATCCACTTCTTTCTGCTCAACCAGAATATAGCCTGCAAACCAGTGCAGGCAGAATACACTAATGCATTCAAATACACCATCTCAGAAGTATTATCCACCCAGCAAAGCTGGCTTTAATCCTCCAAATAGGCAAAGCCAAATAAACCTACTCAAATAACTCCTGCTCAAGCACTAGTATTAATCATGAATGATAAAAATCAGAACATAAAGTTTACTCACATACCAGTGTAAATATTGTGTGACTACGGCTCCTCAATAGATTACAGTTATTCAAATTCAACATTACGGTGCTCTGCCATCATCACCATGGATGCTTGTACTAGCTTTCTTTTTTCTGACAAGTTATGTACTTGTGCTAAATAAGTTGCTTATTTGTTTGAATGAATCAATTACATTTAGTAATGGAATTAAAATATACATGACCTTTGTTCGACAGTAATAGCTATCATTCAAGGCCCTAAAATAATAAGTTATGTCTCTATTTTAAAACCTAATGTTTCATGGATTGCACCAAAAAATACTTGCTTGCCTAACTACACTGAAAAAGATGAAAGCAGCAGGTAGGAAGTTCCAATGGTGAGCTGAACCGGACTGTTGCAGCAGCTGAACAGTCACGTGAACAGTGACTGTTCCAGTTGCTACAACCAATTAAAAGGCTGAGGGAGTTACACCTAAAAAAAGCCTATCTGATACAATAGCTAATCCTAACAAAGTTAAGCAGTTAACACAACCAGTTTGTCCTTGTTTATTCATGTTATGTGTATTTATCAAATAATTTTTTACCTGTTAGGGAGACCTTCCATAGATCTCCAGTGGATTTTCTGATTTGGGATAGGCTGCAAAATGATAAAATAAACAAATGGAAACTCAGCACAAAAACATTTAACAAAATATCACCATATCTCATCTCACTGGATGATTTAAAGAAGCTCTCTATAATTAGTAACAAATGTACTGAAACCTAGAAACACACTGACACTTAGCAAAAGTACTCAATCCCACATACCATAGCTCATAAACTCAGCCAATTAAGAAGCTTACTTCAAATCAATTTACAGAAATAAAGATCAAAGATTCTTTTGTACATTCGGGGTGTGTGTGTGTGTGTTTTTTTTGGGGGGGGGGGAGTGAGACAGAGAGAGAGAGAGAAAGAGAGAGGAATAATACTGATCAACATACTCATCGCTAGTTATGCACGCACTTATTTAGGGGGCTACTGAAGCAATCTCAATGTGTAATTTTAGATTATAAACTAAAAAACATGTAATTGTAAATGTTAAGGTGCACAGGAAGGTTATTAACAACTAACTCTGCCACAAAAAAAAAATGACAAACGCCTCAATCTCCATTTTGATGCAGAACTTTCAATTTCCATTCACCAACCAAACTGCTAACATAAGCAAAAGTTGAAAAACAGAAGGTATTGGTTATGAGTGTGTGTCTTGTTTACATGCTAGCAACAACCATGACTCTAGCTTTATAAATTACACATGATAATAGAGGTTTAGATTCACCCAATCAGAAGGCATCACAAAAGACAACATCCAGAAAAAGCAAATAGAGTACACACTCAAACAAAGAAGCATAAGCAACCAAAAATTAAAGTTGCTACAACTTGCCTCAGTTTTTATGCTGCATCCTCCCACTTTTTTGCACCAGCATATGGATCAATTGTAATGTTTATGACAACAGTCTTCCGTGTAGAAAAAGCTTCAGAAAATGCCGATTTGAGTTCATCAGGTGTCTCAACAAGATAACCCATTCCCCCAAAAGCTTCAATTAGAAGATGATATCCAGCACTAGGGACAAAAGAAGTCGGTGCAGGATCATCCTTGTAAGGTCCTATAATTTCTTCAGGGTTCCTCCAGTCACCACCATATACACCACTATTGTTAAACACTATAACCACCATTGGCAACTGATATCGAACCAAGTTCAAAGAAACACGCAACATATAAGTTTTTTCTGCTCAGAAGGAAATCAAATATGTCAAGATAATGGTGGTAAAAAGAATATAATATAAGAATGAATATACAAAAATATGGGCCAAGAAAGAGTTGGGGTGAAAAAAGTGCAGCTTCCATTTAGTTTAACAGAAAGGCTTCCTGTTTGTGCAACAATTGGGATAAATGAATTTTACAGAACACAAGCAACATGGTAAGAGTGTCACACGAAATATTTAATTCATTAAGAAGAGAAAGGAAAAAAATGTATCACTGCCTAGCAATCAAATACTCTAGAAATCACTTATTTCTAAATTGCTCCATGGATTTCCAGCATTGGGTTAATTAATTCACAATAGCTTACCCAAAAAAAAGTTGTTTCCCAGGTCAAGAGAAACAAGTGTTTTAAGTCCATATGCATCAATATATGCAAATACTGCCTAGCAATGTATCACTGCCTAGCAATCAAATATTCTAGTAGGACACATGTAAAACTTGCACACGAGACTGTTTAGCCAACAGGGGAAAATGAACTGAAGTCTACCAAAGAAAGATATTTTAAGTCCATATGCAAACAATATATGCAAATACTCTAATTGAGGCGAAACCTTAGCATGTTTATAGCTCAAAGGTGATTCAGCATAATGAGTGGATATGCAAAAAATATCTCCAAAACCACGTTGCAGTAAGTGAGGCTCCTATAGTAAAAGGAAAATTAAGTCAAACAACTATGAGTAGTGCTCTATTACCTCACCATGAAGCTGGTTTTTACCAAATTGATTTGTAAATATAAAGTACAGCTGAAACAAAAGTCCAACTAAAGTAAGAGTCTAGTTGTAGAAAGAGTCTAGTTGAAATAGGAAGCTCCAGTTGAGAAAATCCAACTAAGAGCTGCTGAATTTGAAAAACAAATGAAAAATCATAACTGCCGAAGGGGTCCAGCTGATGAAGGAATCAAATTGCAACAGCAGCTGAAAATACACATGAACAGTCACATGAACAGTGCACTTCAGACCAAAAATTGCTGCATTCTGTTTACGGGCCAAATAAAGAGAAAGCTTCTTGATAGTCCAGCTGGAAGAGTCCAGCTGATGATGCAACTGCAATTCCCAAAGACTGCCGAAGACAACTGAGGAAACTGCAACAATAAATCAGTTGGAAGAGAATCCTGCAGCATAGTTTTCTAAGGGTCAAGACCCAATTAATTGGCCACGATAGTTTTCTCCTCCATAGCAACAACAAAGAAACCAACCTGCATCTCCCCTGCAATCAACTCTACAAATAATAACAATAGAGCTTCCAGGACCTTGCATGACAGTGTACTGTATTATAATAAAACCTTTAGCACTCCACAAGGACAATACGAATGTCATAGTTATGTGTTTTGGATTAAAGAATGCACATCAAGTATTCCAAAGAAGGATCGATGAAATTCAAGATAGAAAAATATATCCAAAGAATTATAAAGATAAAAGAGACAACTATAAAGCTAACAAAGCTTAGCTTACACTTGAAGTTGATTATATCATCATAGAGAGAGATGCTTTGGACACAACTTAGAGCGGACTGTTAAAAGGAAGGGCACCAAAGAATAGTACAAAAAGACTCCATAAATGCTTATGGAGCAATTAAAAGCTTTGAACTTAACAGTTACACGATAGAAAAAGAAATTATCTTCCATTAAAAATTAGTCTTGAAATTTGAATATTAATTAGACCCCAAAAGTTCCTGATAAGAGAAGTCTAAATGCCAAAGAAGTTTGTCGTTCTTGGTTAAGTTGCTTCATTTGAAGGTATTGAACAAGTGGAGCAATAAGTCATTAACATTGATGTTAGAGCTATTGACAGACCTTTTACCTGAAGGTCATATTCTTCCAACATCTCTCTATGATGTTAAGAAATTCTTACGTGCTTTGGGATTGGGATACGAGTCCATTTATGCATATAGGTACGATTTTATGCTATTTTGGAAGGAGAATAAAAAATTGGATAAGTGTACAGTATGTGGGGAGTCAAGATATCAGCTCAATGATGGTAAGGGTAAGAAGTTACCTCATAAGATTTTGCGATACTTTCCCTTGAAACCGAGGTTACAGAGATTGTTTATGTCGAGAAAACGGCTATATATATGGGGTAGCACCAAGAGAAGCGAGTGGACGACGAGAATTTTTCACGGCATCCTGGTGATTCTGAAGAATGGAAAGACTTTGATAAGCAATATCCTGATTTCGCTTGGGACACTCATAATGTTAGGCTTGGATTGGCCACCGATTGTTTTAACCTTTTTGGCAACATGAGCAACTCTTACAGTATGTGGCCTGTGATCTTGATGCCTTACAATTTGCCTTCCTGGAAATGTATGAGCGATCCATTCTTCATGATGTCATTGCTTATTCCAGGACCACAGGCACCCGGGAAGGAGATTAACGTATACTTGCGCCTGTTAATTGATGAGTTGAAAGAATTGTGGGAAGATGTTGTAACTTTTGATGCATGTAGCAAACATACATTTCAAATGCATGCAGCTATTATGTGGACGATAAATGATTTTCCTGCTTATGGTAACCTATCTGGATGGACTACAAAAGGTTACAAGGCATGCCCCATTTGTAATTTTGATGCATTATCACAGCCATTAAGAAGCAAAATTGGCTACACAGGCCATCGGCGTTACTTGCCGCAAGATCACAACTGGCGACGAAATAAGTTATTTAATGGTAAGATTGACACGTCGCAAAAAATAATTTGCAATGATTTTTTTGAATTTTGCAATGAAAAAAATCGTCTCAAAAACGATTTTTGTTGTAGTGACAGTAGTGCATATCAATTTCTTCACAAATCTAAAATTCCTGATGTGCATATTAATATAATTATAGAGTTAAGTAATGTGTCATTCTTTGAAAATAATTTTCCATTTTGTCACATCAATCAAGCTCATTAAAGAGACCAATTGATTCTACCACTAATAATGGTCAAAATGAGAAGTTCATTGAAAATGAACCTAAACGTAGCAAGAGGACAAAGAATTTGAAGTCATTTAGTCCTGATTTTGTAACTTATCTATTATAAAATGATCCTTAAAATTTCAAGAAGCTATGTCCTCCCTCGAAGCTCCTTATTGGAAGGAAGCTGTCGATTCTAAAATCGAATCCATTATGATAAATCATACATGGGAGTGGGTAAATCTTCCACCAGGTAACAAACCTTTAGGCTGTAAATGGATCTTTAAAAAGAAGATGAAAACCATGGATCCATTGACAAGTATAAAGCTAGACTTGTAGCCAAATGATATAAAGCAAGGGAAGAATTGGATTGTTTTGACACTTATTCACTAGTTACTAGAATTACTTCCATATGGATGTTAATTGCTATAGCTAAATTGAATGGTCTTGAAATACATAAAATGGATGTAAAGACATCATTCTTAAATGATGAATTAGATTAAAAAATATACATGGAACAACCTGAGAGGTTCATTGCTAATCGGAAAGAAAAGAAAGTATTCAAGTTTGTTAAATCTCTGTATGGTTTAAAACAAGCACCGAAGTAGTGGCATGAAAAATTTGACAAAACAATGTTGTCAAATGGGTTCAAAATAAATGACTGTGACAAATGTGTATATGTCAAGAACACTCACAGTGGATACGTTATTGTATATCTTTATGCTATAGGCAACAATAACGATGTCATTAGAGCTACCAAACGGATGTTGACAAATAAGTTTGAAATGAAAGGCTTAGGTGTTGTTGACATTATACTAGGAATTAAAATTTCTAGAACATCAGATGGACTTGTGTTATCTCAATCTCATTATATTGATAAAGTACTTGATAAGTTCAAAAAGTATGAGATAAAACCTATAAGAACACATGTCGATGTTAATATCCATCTTTCAAAGAATAAGGGTAATAGCATATCACAGTTAGAATATGCACGTATAATTGATAGTTTAATGTACATAATGAATTGTACCCGTCTAGATATAGCATATTCAGTGAGTAAGCTAAGTCGATATACAAGTAATCCCGAAAAAGACCACTGAAAACCAATTATTAGAGTTTTGGGATATTTAAGACATACTCAAAACTATAGTTTGCACCACACGAAGTACCCAACAGTACTCAAGGGATATACTAATGCTAATTGGATATCCGATACTAAAGATTCAAAATTCACAAGTGGATATGCCTTTACCTTGGGTAGTGCTGCCGTGTCTTGGAAATCCTTAATACAAACTTGTATTGCAAGATCTACAATGGAATCTGAGTTCATTGCCTTAGATAACGTTGGAGAAGAAGCAGAATGGCTTCGAAATTTCTTAGAGGATATTTCAAATTGGCCAAAGTATGTGCCTACAATATGCATTCACTGTGATAGCCAATCTATGATTGCAAGGACACAAAATTGTATGTATAACGGTAAGTCTAGACACATATGTCATAGACAAAATACCGTTAAACAATTGCTCTCTAATGATATTATATCCATTGACTATGTGAAGTTAAAGGATAATATTGCAGATCTGCTTACAAAAGGTTTGACTAGAGTGCAAGTGGAAAGTTCATTGAGGGGAATGGGCTTAAAGCCTATTTGCTTAATCAAGAGTCACCATAATGGCAATGCAACTCAGCTGACTAAAGATCCCAAGGTCGATGTTCAAAGGGACAACTGAATTATGTGTAACTCAGTACGCACTGAGAAGATTTTCTAAACTCCTCCTCATTCCTATGATGAGACAGTGCACATCTACAGCGAGAACCAGATTAGGTTACATTTTTAATGAAATTTTGTGACTTGAAAATAGTCAAGTAGAGTATAGCAGGATACTCTTAATCAGATATCACTTCTATGAGTAAAGAAGGGGCTATTTCTATGAGAATCGTAGGTTAATTACAATAATATTACTCATGAAAACAAGTGGTGTTCAAGGCCAAAATGAACACAAACATGAGAAGCAACTGTGTCCGAAGGAAAACTGTGTGAATTCTATTGTCTTGTTTGACACAAATGATTGACAATGCAAAGACATCATGTCCATTGGATAGCCAAGTAAATCCGATAGTTTGTCACTACAGAAAGTTCAAGGCCACTGGCTACTTATCCAGATGCAGTAACCTTTCACTTATACTTGAATCAGTGTCTGCATTATCATACATTGAATTTTTATTCATGTAGGGGATTGTTGGAAAAATGGATATGAAAACTAAATTAAAATAGGACTCTCCCATTGAAATTAGTGGGAACATGATTTTCAATTATTTGTTCTGAATCATTAATATTTGTGAGAAATTATGTCTTAAAAATTATCAATTTTAATTAGACTGAATTTTTGGATTTGGAGTTGGGTCAAAAATGGTTCAGATCGGAGTAGTTGACGAAACAGTATTAGAGGCGAAGCCCAATGCTTAGGCGACGCCCAAGGCTTTTGGTAACCTTGCTTGGTGCCCTGCTTTGTGCCTTGCTTGGTGCCTTGGCAAGTGGGGCCCAAGGTCTTGACACCTTGGCTTGGGGCACCACCTCTCTTGGTCGCCTCACTTTGTCTCGCCTTGCCTTGCCTCGCAGTCTGTTGCCTTCACCTTCGAGTACCTGACACAACCGTCTTTTAAATTAATTTTTAAAATACGCGCCATACATAATTGTCGTCGTCCAGAGTGTGTCTTTGAACAGGTGTGACAAACAATGGCGTCCTTTGCCTTCCTTTGCCTGTTCAATTTAATTGAACAGGCACCTAGAGTCTATAAAAGGGCGACCCCTACTGCCATTTGAAAATACGAAAAATACGGAAACACTAAAATTCAAGAACAATTCTTCTAACCTTCATACTTCTCTCCCTCTGTATACATATTGTTGCATCGTTGTTCTTCTTCGTCGGTTTAAGTACAAGCCACAAAGTTGTGTTCGCTAGAATCTTGGAGATTGAAGTGTTGCTTCTCCAAGAACGTAAATCCATTCTATCTTGGGAGACAATTGCTCATAAACCTTGAGCACCAAGAGGGAGCAAATTTATCTTAAGGAGATTGTGGATACATGGCTCGGATTTATTCTAGTTTTGTGGTTCTGATTGTTGCTGCTATTCTGTATCCATGTGAGTGCATTAATTTGTTTAAACAGTAGGCTTTCTGTTTTAGATTTGCAACAGTTTTTTAAGCTTCTTAAATCTAAATATATACACAATATTTTCGTATAACACAAGCAAAGCTAAGAGTTGACATACTTCCTCCACTTGATGTGATTGAATATTTCTCAACACCCAGTTAGTCCAGCAAATTATTCATTGATTTAGCTTGCACCAATTAAGAACAATGGAAATTATG